GAGGGGCAAGAAAACATGGGGATTTAGGGGGAGTGAGGAGAGTAGCATAGATTTTCCTGAAAAAATATTTTCCACTCTCTAACTAAATACTAGAAAATATTTTTCGGAAAAGATTTTCACTCACCAACTAAACAAGGGAAAATAAGTGATAAAACTACTCATTTTTCATGAAAATATTTTCTAGAAAAATACTTTTCATGAAAGACATTTTCCTTCGTACCAAACACACCCTAAAAGTGTGTCGAGTTTCACAAGTTGAGTTACGCCTATCACATTTTCTCCCTTAGTCAATTTCCAATCCTATAAGCTTGACATTCTTTCTTTTCGATTGGTTGATTTGGTTCTCCGACATCTTTTTTTTTTCCTTCGCATTGAGGGGTGTTTGGTATGAAGGAACATATTTTTCGGAAAATATTTTTCAATTTTCTCATGTTTGGTTGGCTTAAATGTTTTGAAAAATATTTTCCTCATGAACTCATTTTCCTCTAATTAGAGGAAAATATTTTCCCTATCAAGAGAAGGAAAAATATTTTTCAAAACCTTTAAGCCAACCAAACATGAGAAAATTGAAAAATATTTTCCTCATGAACTCATTTTCCTCTAATTAGAGGAAAATATTTTCCCTATCAAGAGAAGGAAAAATATTTTTCAAAACTCTTTTTCAACCTTCCCTACCATATGATCATCCCTACCACCCCCACAAACCCACACCCCACCTACACACACACAACCCCACCCCCAACCCTCATCCTAAATAAAAATATTATTATTAGTACTTTCTTTTTTATGTTATAGATAGTTTTTTTTCATTTCAACAAATGAGTATTTTCTTTTCATTTGGGGGGCCGGGAAGGGGCGCGGGTGAGGGAGGGAGGGAGGAGCAAGGAAACATGCGGACTTAGGGAAATGGGGTGAGGAGAGTACCATAAAAAAATATTTTCTTTTATCTAACCAAATACTAGAAAATATTTTCCGAAAAAAGTTTTTTATTCACCGACCAAGCAAGGAAAAATAAATAATAAAACCACTCATTTTCTATGAAAATATTTTCCATGGAAAACATTTTCCTTCGTACCAAAAATATCCTAAATAATAGGAAAGGGAGAGGAAATGAGAAAGTAGATCATGAGACGGGAAATTGAATTGAACCTTCACTTGCATGATGAAGCCTGGGTCAATCCAATAAGCAATAACCTCCTTTTTCTTTGGACCTCTTTTTCTAAATGTAAAAAAAATCTCTTTGTTATGAATAGAATTATACTTAAAATGAATGTCTATCTTTTAGAGAGTTTGTTACTTTATGGCTATGTCATTTTTTCCCTTATAAATAAAGAGGCTTTACCCATTGTAAATCATCTAAAATTTAATAAGAATTACCTCTTTCTTTTCCTTGCAATATTATTTTTTCCTTATTGTTTTATTATGTTATCGGCACGATACTCTACCGTCTCGAGAAGCTCTTTGAGAAGACTAAAGTATAGTTTTTCTGCTCTTTTACTATTGTCTGATATTATGAAATGAAAGTTCATTGCCCTTGAAATTATCGTGGGTATTGGATGCTGAAATCCATTTAGATGCAATGGGTCTTGGAGACGCCATTAAAGATAAAAATAAAACATCTACCCAAGATTGTGCTAAAGCCTTGATCTTCTTGCGCCATCACCTTGATGAAGGGTTGAAAATAAGATATCTCACAGTCAAAGATCCACTTGTTTTGTGGAATGGCTTAAAGAAAAGATATGACAACTTAAAGTTGGTCACACTTCCACAAGCACGATATGATTGGGCTCATCTAAGACTCCAAGACTTTAACTCTATTTCTGAATGCAATTTGGTGATGTTCAGAAGTACTTCTAAATTAAAACTATGTGGAGATAGTATCACTGACTATGATATGCTTGAAAAAACGTTCACAATACTTCTTGCCTCCAATATGGTCCTGCAACAGCAGTACCGAGAGAAAGGTATCAAGAAGTATTCTGAGTTGATTTCTCTTCTCCTTGTGGCTGAACGAAATGACTTGCTCATGATAAATCATGATAATCGACCCACTTGTCTACATTATTGCCTGGAGTGGATTAGGTGTATTCCCATTATGCTAAGCGTGGAAAAGGCCGTAGCCCTATTCGTGATCGTGGACGTAGCCGTGGACAAGGAAGAAATTTTTTCGGTGTTAATCATCCCCCAAAGAAATATAACCACCAAAAGTGAAAAGGGAAAGATGAGAAACCAAAGACAAATGGTTCAGAAACTGAATGATATCGTTGCGGTGGAAAATGACATTGGGCAAATATTTGTCATACACCAAGATATTTGGTTGAGCTTTATCAAGCATCTCTAAAAGAAAAAAGGCCCTGAAGCTAATTTTGTCTATGACAATGAATTTGGCATCACCCACTAATGCGACAAACTTCTTTGAGCACCCTGATAGAAAAGTAGATCACTTGATCGGTGATGGATCCATGGTTAAAGATGATTAAGTAGTTTGATTTTTTTTGTTTTCCTATTTGTAGTAGCTAGTGAATAAACACCATGTAATCAGAGTTCTTTACATGAGTAGTAGTTATTAGTATCAATTAGTATTATTTTATGAATTAGTGTTAGTTCGTTTTGATTATATATAGTTCTAGTATTCGTTTTAAACAACATTTCAGCCTTTGACCATGTCATAATTATTTACATACACATACATGTGGTGAGAATTCAAATGTGGCATATTGCTTTAGTATTTAACAGTCTCCGTACCAATAAATTCTTACCAAGTGTTTCTAATATTAAAGTGTATGTTAAGTATAATGTCTGAAAAATACATGTAACTATTCTGTACTGTATTACATACTTTGTGACGATCCGGCTAGTCGTCTCATGAGTTACCGCTCTGTTTTCTCCTATTTCTGCTTCTTATTGCTTTATCTATCGGTTCCATATGTGATCGGGTTGGTTGGCTCAGGTTCGGAAAGGATTTGGTAAGGTTTGAGACACTTAATCTCTTTTGAGGAAGCTTAAGTTAGAAAAATCAACCGGATGTTGACTTATGTGTTAGAGGGCTCGGATGTGAGTTTGTCACACCTCCTTTTTCCTCCCCCGCGAGGGGTGAAGGAGTTTTTCCAATTAAAGGACAATCGAAACGGGATTTGTTTGTTTATT